CTCAGACTTCTACAGTCTACAAGGAACTCACAGCTTCAAACCCTCAATGCTGAGATCCAAAACCCCAACCTAAGCCCTTGAGCAAACCTGAACCCCGAAAATTTTGAGAAACAAAAACCTGCAGAACCCTGGTATCCCGAATCTATCCCAAACACCTACATATCGGGCCTCCTGGAAACCCTAAACCCTAAACCCTGAACCCTGAACCCTAAACCCGAGTGCCTGAGACTGCGCGCTCTTCACGGCGGACTCGGCCTGGAAGAACAGCGCGGCGTTTGCCCCGGCACCAGACATGTGGTTTAGGTTTAGGGTTTTGGGTTCAAGATTTGGGGTTTAGGGTTCAGGGTTTCGGGAAACCCTAAACCCTAAAGCCCCAAGCCTTAAGCCCTGAGCCCTAAACGCAAACCCCTCAAGGGAACTCCAGAATGTTGGAATATGGCTTCAGGGTAGGATACCTTATAATGTACCATAAAGGGTTTAGGATAGTCATATTCCAACTTTCTGGCTTTTACTTTAAGGCCCTAAACTAAGCCCTTGGAGCTGACACCGGCGCACCTGGGACTGCGCACTCTGCACGGCAGAAGCCGCCTTCAGCTGCAAAGGGGCTTAGGGTTTAGGGTTTAGGGTTGAGGGCTCAATATCGGGGCCTTAATGAACGGAATAGGGTTCCTTTCAAGGGGCCTATAATGACTACTATAAGGGCTAGTATAAGGATGTAGTACAGGGGCCTTATTGCATGTAATAGGGTTCCTTTAAGAGAAAGGCGTGTCGTGGACAGATAGTATTGGTAATTATTAATTTCAGGCCCCTCTATTAAGGGTTTAGGCCGTAAGGCTGTAGAGTTTAGGGTTTGGGGTTCAGCGTTTAGGGTTTGCGGTTTCATGAGCAGCTGGGGATTTGCAACTGTTGAAAGCTTGGGCTTAAGGGCTTGAAGTTGTTCGGTGGTTTAGGGTTCTAGTCATAGTCTGTTTGGTGGTTTGGGTTGGGGAGGTGGGCTCTGGTTTCGGGTTCAAGCATTACCCGTGAAGCCGAAGAAGCATCCGTAGGCGTCACGCGGTGCAAGCGCAGCAGTGCATGATGCCTTACCCTGGATGGTGTGCTATTGCCGATACTTGCCAGCTCAACTATCATCACGTTCCTGTTGCCTACCCATGCACACCCAAACCCCCACAACAACCATAAAGATCCAAGAGAAGTCCCACAGAAACCTTGCTTGAGCCCTGATCTACCCTAAACCTTAAACCCTGGACCCTGGACCTAAACCCTAAACTTCCTAAACCCTAAACCCTCGACCCAAACTCTAAAACCCTAAACCACGGCTAAACCAGAGACCTGAACCCTAAATGCCAAAAAGACGTCCAAGGAGGCGCCTTGTCCGCCCCGGCCTGGAAAGTGGCGCTCACCTGGGAAGAACCCCCAGCCACCGAGTCCCTTTCTTCGGGTTTAGGGGTTTGGGCTTCAAGGTTTAAGGTCTAGGGTTTAAGGCTTTAGGGTTTAAGGTCTAAGGCTTCAAGGTATAAGGCAGCTGGGTAATTGATTATAAAGGTTACAAGCGGCTCAATTCGGTATAGAAGTACATAAAACTAGAGTTACCGTTCTATTGACTAAGCTGGTCCCGTACGATAGGGCTCAAGTTAGACGTGTAGCGTCCGCGGCACTCGTCTTCTCAATTGGATTGGGTGCGGACTCAGATGTGCCCATAGATTTATATGAGCTGTAGGCCAAACTGCACCCTAAACCCTAAACCCTAAGTTAATGGGCATGGACAGTAAAGGGGATAAGCCAGCAGGGCTCTACACCATGGAGATGATTAAGAATCCTGAGGGACAGGCAATTACCCGGTTCCCAACCCCATGAGTTATGATAAAAAGACGACTGAAAGCAACCCTAGAAAGTAACCCCGCAAGAAGGAACCCTTCAAGCTAACCGCAAGTAAAGTTAACTCTGAACCGTACAGCGACCCGAAAGCTTGAAGGTTCATAAGTTTTTGGTAGCCTTCCGCGTCATGACCTGAACCCAGCGACCCCCAATCCCCCCCCAACGTGCAGGTTCGCGAATTTTTTATCGAATTCGGCAAGACTTCCCTAAGAGTTTAGTGTTTCAGGCATCGGGGCCTGAGAGGAACCTACATGGTTATTCAGGATTCCTCTATAAGTTGTTGGCAGATTTTGCCTAAACTAATGAAACAATCTTGTTTACGGGGTGGGTCACTGGGTCCCAAAACCCTAAACCCCAAACCGCCCCAAACCGGAAGTACTCAACCTTGCGGGCTTCAGCGCCCAAAGATAGTATTCAGACTTCTCGAGCCTTGGCTTGAGGATATAGGGCTTAGGCTTTTTCGGTTCAGAGTTTGGGGTAAACAGAGGCCGGCCTCTGAAAAGCAAACGGGCTGAGCTTTATAGGGGTTATTGTAGGAATTCCCGCGATGCCAGGGCCCTTAAAGAAGAGGTGAAGGCTCATCAGGAGCTACCTTACGTAGCTAAGACCTCTCGAACCCCGGATCCTGTTATCCCAAACGCTGCGACCTAAACCCCAAACCATCACCCAGAAGTAAACCCCACAGGTACGAACCAAGCCTGAACCTGCAACCCCAGAAGATCCATCACAAAACATCCAATACCGCACTGAAGCCTGCAGATTAAGCAACAGTATCTAAACAGCCCATGTAACGAAAGACTGAATCGTACTCAGCCTATCCCAAAACCTTATAGAAAAACACAAGCAATTTTGCAGACATTTAAAACAACATGAATGATAATGTATATTTATGTGCTTGCTTATTTATTCATCTGTTCTAACGTGGAGACAGTCTTCAAAAGGCGACGAAGCCGCGGGCCCGGCCTTGTCCTCCGCCTGCTGCACGGAGGATTTGGCCTGGCTCACGGCCTTTCGGAAGGCTCGGCGGGGCGCAGGGCTTTTTTTTTTGAAGTCCTTTTTCCGCCTAAGGTAGCAGCCGTCGACGAAAGACCCAGGGGGTCAGGAGAGTTGGCCCCATAGGGGATTCTGGGTTTAGGGTTTGGGGTTTAGGCTTTGGGGTTTAGGGCTTCGCTCTTTTTGCATTCGAAAAGCAAGGCAGCAAAATTGACATTTAAAAAAAGCGAGTTCTGTTTGGGTTTAGAGTTTTGGGTTTGGGGATCAAAAGCTGAGTTTTGGGCTTTAATGCTTCGGGTTTAGGGCCGTTCTAGTGAGATTCTACTGCGCTTCACGACCGTTTTGAGTTCAACAGGGGTTTCGGGTTCAGGGTTCGGAACTCTTTTCTTGAACTCCTGTTTCCTAAGCAGCTGCAGGTCTGCTACGCAGTTTTCGGAGTTTCTTTTTGTTGAGCCCCTTTTTCCCGAAGTGCCTCAATGTTCGGAGTTTAGAGCTCAGGGTTTCATTTTCGATTCAGAGCTTAGCTGGAGCTTGGAGTCTTCATCAGCCTTCTGCACGCGTAGCATCGGTTTAGGGCTCTTTTCGGGGGATTAGGGTTTAGGGGTTTAGGGGTTTAGGGGTTTAGGGGTTAGCGGTTTAAGGTTTAGGTTTAGGGGTTCATGGGTTTAGGGTTTAGCGATTTAAGGTTTAGGGGTTTAGGGCTTTAGGGGTTTAGAAGTTTAGGGTTTAGCAGTTTAAAGCTTAGGGGTTTAGGGGTTTAGGGGTTTAGGGTTTAGCGGTTTAAGGTCTAGAGCTTTGGGGGTTTAAGGTTTAGGGGTTCGATCTCCAGGGTTCTCCTGTGAAGCACTGTCTGCACGGCCAGGTTCGGGATTGACTTCGTGAGTGGGCGGTGTTGGGGGAGGGGTGGGTGGGGGGGAAGGGGGGTTGTTAGTTCATTCGCAGAACATGCACTTTTTTCTGCACCCATGCCCACATGGTCCACGGTGGCTTCTTGAAAGCTTCGCTCCAGTGGAAGGTGCCGTCCAGCACGACGAAGAGTAAGGGCAGCGCAAAGCGCAAGCGCAAGGTAACATCCATCCATGACTCCACGAACCCCGTAGGAGAAATGTCGGCGCCGACCGCGATCAAAGTTTGATTGTTGACACTTCCGTGTTACAAAGTAGGGCGTATAGGACATGATAGAGTCAGTCACAAGTAAGCTGGTTCCGATCTCGTATGTGTTGGGCCTGACGCGGCTTCAGAGTCCTGGTCTGCAATCCCAGACTGCAGGGCTTTGGGGTGTTGTCTGAAGACAGCAAGGACGAAGGACAGCGACGAACGGCGACGACGCAAAAGACAACGAGCTTCGCGTGAAGCTGATGAAAGCAGGAATGGTGATGCAGGAACGCCTTGCCGTATAAACCTGATGCAAATACAAGGTGGTGCACGAAAGGCTCGTGGCTTACGGTAGAGGAATCAAGGTTACAAAAACCCTGACTCGCAGGACTGCCTTACGCTGCCGACCAAAGCCATACATCGCAAAAACCCTTGGTTTGAGATGCTGCCTTCAAAATGCCCACGTTCCGCAGTCACACGCATCTCTGAACCAACACACATTCTCCGCTCTATAGCTAGAATGTGGCTTTTAGCAATGTTTGCGGCCCCGAGGCTACTTCTCCAACCATACAGCGCACAAACCCTTGACGTGGTTCTCCAGCAAAAATACGTAAACATGCTGTGCCATGCCAAGGCCCTATCCGTTCGGATTGCCACGAAAACTACGTAAATGCCACGGGTTTTGTGCCTTGACACACATGCAGCAGACAAGCATACACTTACTGTGCGGAGAACCTCCGGGATTGAGCGTTGGGGTTCAGGGTTTAGAGGGTTTAGGAGTGCTATGGCTTGGACGCTATACACCGGCCTGCCTCGGTTCACGGCTACTTAAAGGATCATGGGACTTAGTAACTATACTTATATTTACCTATTACCCCAATTAGGGGACTTATAACCTTACTTACTAAGTCCCCTGATCCTCCAAGTAGATACAAGTAGGATCATGAGTACCTCTTAAACCAGGGCCCAGAAGACGCTCAGCAGTGAGCGAGCGATTGCTGTAGGCCCCAGTGCTTCGTTTCAATCGCCCCGCCATGTACGCTGGAGGGGAACAGAAGCACGTCATGAGCCATGCTGCAGGTGAACCTGCAGACGGACGGATAGCGTGGATTGCCGACACGGAATGCCACACTGTTGACCGGAAGACGTTACAGCAGCACATTCGGACAATTGTTCGCCGATGTATGCCGCTTGGAGCTATCTCGCTGCGAGCCCTACGTGAGGAGCTGCAGCTAAATCTTGGGATGACCTTGGTTAGCCACAAGGCCGAGATCCGCCATCTAGCTGAGCATGCACTTGAGGAACTTACTTTGCAACAGCAGTTGGTCGCTACAGGGATATGCGATGGAGTATGGGAGCCGATTCCGATCCGCCATCTAGCTGAGCTTGCACTTCGGGAGTTTACTTTGGAACAAAAGTTGGTCGCTACAGGCATTTGCGATGGAGCATGGGAGCCGATTCCTCTTGCTTTGGGGAAGCATGCCGGGGGTCGGACCCTGTTCCATTTGCTGAGTGGCAACCAGCTCTGTGGCGGCCAGGATGGTGTACCAATCGACGATGGTAACTGGGAGCTTTTCTGCCTCGAACACAGCATTCAACCCGATGGACAAATTCCTTTGGACATGAGGCTCGGTGGAGGAGATGATGGTAGGATGGGTGCCGGTGAGCATGTGCCACCCTCTTTGGTTGTCGCTTCCGAGCCCGCAGTCACGGATGAAGTGTGCTCGGGTCCTTGTGCGCAGCATTTGTCAGGCGTGGATGCCGAGAACTACCTTGTTCGTGGGTCTGGACTGGGATGCCCTTTGCTGGAGCGTCTGCTGTTGGATTATGTGGCCGAGATCACTCTGTCTGTCCTTGGGTCTGCATTTGTGGCGGTGATGCTGTGTCAAAGACCGTTTCTGAAGCAGTGGCGACCATCAAATCTACGCGGACACCATCCACTTGCGGCGGACAGGTGTGTGGCTGGCCCCGCTGGAATGCGTTTCCACTCGCCGATGGCGGCATCAGGGGGCATACGGCGAGAGCGTTTGTATGCCGGCAGCATGATCTCCAACTCTCTGCCGAAGTCTTTCCGACATCAACCCCGAATCTGACCGGATGTATTCCATGCGGGCGAAGTCCGCACAAATCATTGTGCAGGCTATCTTTCAGGCATTCGTGGTAGTTCATGGTGCCCTTGAAAGTACACGTTTGTTTCCCTTCAGGGTGTGACTTGCTGCCGGCAGCTGTCCCCTGATATCTTTTCGAAGACATGTGCGTGGCCGAGACAGCTTTTGTACATGCTGGTTCCATCTCGGTGCGCGTTCTCTTCTGCAGATTTCTGCTCCGCTCGATGTTATTTCCGGGCGAGTGCACACTGCTTCAACCCTGAATTCATCTTGCTAGGCGAGCGTCGTTTACCGACTCAACCGCAGAGAATGTAAAAAAAAAACCTCTTAAACCTGATGAACCCTACGCGCACAGTGTCACTGGGGCCTTATACCCCGAAGCCACACAAGACAGGAGCTACGATCCTTCCAACCCAACTAAAACTTCCATCATGCTAGAACTACGGTTGATGATATAAATCCTGCATTACCCATAATAAGGAATATACCATAATTCACATAGTTTCGGGTCCTTGAGGTAACGCAGGATTTATATCATCAACAGTAGAACCCAACCTAAACAAAATGAGCATGTCCAACAATGTCCAACACGCCTTCTAGGCATTCCCTACACCCCTACACCCCTGCACCTTCTTGGATGCTAAGTGCCAAAGCTTCCTAAACCTTAAACCTGTGCTGGGATCCTAAGACTCGGAGGGTACATTCGTCGTCCTAAGCAAAAGAACCTTCCCAGAGACTCCAATATCCCTTAATTAAGGAAGACTCCTTAAATCATATTAGGGATCCTACTATAAGTTAAGGAATATTCCTTAATTAAGGGATATTGGAGTCTCTGGGTTCCTCGGCCTAACTGCTAAACCCAGCAGCCCAAGCCCTCTTGGATCCTAAACGGCCCTAAACCTCGAGTCCCTTCCTAAACTGCAACCTTCCTAAAGACCCTACTTGGAGGATCAGGGGACTTAGTAAGTAAGGTTATAAGTCCCCTAATTGGGGTTATAGGTAAATATAAGTATAGTTACCTTATTTATAACCCTAGTAACTAAGTCCCATGATCCTTTAAGTACAGTACTTCCTGAACCCCAAAACCCCCACTTCCCAAAGCCTATTGCCCAAACGCCGACTTCCAAAACCTTGTAGCCAGCCTGCTTCATGGCTTCCTCGACTTTGCTCGCTGCCTTCACAGTAGTTTCGGGTTTAGGGTTTATACGAGAATCTCTGTGGGATTTGTGCGGATTCAACCGCACAAAGTCTTTCTGGGGGCTCATAGAAGCTCTTTGTGAAGGCTTCTGAAGAGGGGCTTCCTAGGGTTTTATGAAGTTTTCTGCCTTTATGCTCTAGGGCTCTCATAAGCGTTCAAACGAGGTTGGGGTTTAGGGTTTAGGGTGAGAAGGAGAACAGGGACTGTAAGTGGATATTACTGACTCGTTGCGAATAGCGAATACTGCATAGCGCATGTTGAAGATTTTTGGCGCACCGCTGTGACACGGCTCCAACACACAAGGCCACTCAACTCCAATATCGGGGCCTTAATCGTTGGAACGGAGCTAGGGGTCTTATATTGTGACGATCGCTATATAGCAACCATAAGCGCGACATCTTTTCCTATCGCTCCCTCCAAGACCCCTACATCACAACCTCCAACCTTCGCCCTGCATCACCCCCCAATCCACCCTCGCTGCAATAGGATGCTCATAGCAGCACTGCATAAGCACCCCATTTGACCGTCAGAACCTTTGCAAAACGTAGTAAGAACCGACAAACATTTCCTTTCACTGCATTTCATGCGCGGGAAACCACGCAAGACCTTCGAAGCAAGTCTACCCAAGGACCCAACGAAAACTACCAGACCTCAAACACAACACTAAAATCACTCTAAACCCTTTAAACCCAAGACCGAAAACAAACTAAACATACCTCAACCCTAAACCCAGCTCCCTAAACCCTAAACCCGGAAGAAACCCGCGGAAAAGCCTTCTCCCTCTGGAGAGCCGCCGCGGCTGCTGCCTGGAATCTCTGGGCAGGTTTTGGGAATGAAGGTTAGGGTTAGGGTTTAGGGTTTTGGGTTCAAGATTTGGGGTTTAGGGTTTAGGGTTTAGGGTTTGGGGTTTAAGGGCTTGGGGGTTTAGGGTAGGGTTTCGGGTGGGTTTAGGGTTAAGTTTATCCTTTAGGATTTAGCGTTTAGGGAAGGATGGATCCGGACTCCGAGCCTCTGCTACACCTACTAAACCCTACTTTTGTAGGCTCTTATTATAAACCCTAATATGGGATTCAGAGGGACCCTACAAAAACGTAGGTTCTGGTAGGTTCAGGTCTGCTAGAAAGCCCCTAAACCCTAAACCCCAAACCCTAAACCCTAAACCCCAAACCCCAAACCCTAAACCCCAAACCCCAAACCCTATACCCTAAGCCACCATCTCGATGGCTCCGGGTCTCAGATCTAGGGCTCAAATGTAATGCAGGATATTTCTCACCGTATAGTTATACTTCATGGGGCTCCTAAGTTTGGGGTTTCGGGTTTAGGGCTGAGGGTTTAGGGTCTAGGGTTTCGGGTTTAGGGCCGTTTAGGGTTGAGGGTTCAAGGTTTTTTTCGTTCAAACGTCCCTTTTCCGTTCGCCACGGTCCAGAAAGCGGTTCCCGCTGGGCGTGTCTAGCAGGCACCCAAAAGGCTTGGTGGAAGCATCCGGGTTTAGGACTTAGGCTTCAGGGGATTCTGCCTGGGTAGGGTGTGGGGTGAGGGGGGGGGATTTAGGTTGAGGCCTGAGGGCTCGAGTCATTGAGTGCCACCCTTCCCATAGTAGGACTACCAGACGGATACCAATATCACAGGCCCTTGCAAGCAATAAGAGGTCTACGTGATTACAATTTTTACTCCTGTGTTACATTAGTGGTATTAGTGTGTTGTTGTTTCTAGGTTTCTGTTGTTGCTATTGCTCTTCCTGTCGTCATTGTCGCTCCGTGAATACATGCTAGCCTTGTTGCGCTTAGTATTTGTGTAGTGTGAGTATTCTCATATGTTCTATCTTTGGTAATGCTGTATATATATATATACCTTATAGTTATGAACATTGCTTGTGCCGTTCCTCTTATCAATGTTTGACTCTACTTTATTGTCGTTTCGATTGTTACCAGAACTATTGTCGTTGTTAGTTGTACTACCACTGTTTCTACTAAATCAAGAGTAGTGGTAGTCGTTGTCGTCTCGTCGTCGTCGTCGACCTACCAAGTGCCTATCCCAAAAACATCGGCTCCAAGCACGACAGGCCCGAAGTAGAACAGGTTTCAAGAACTCTAGAGAGCCCTTTGAAGAAACCCTTATAGTACCCTTATAGCAACCACTTAAAGGTACGCCTAAACTTGGGGGGGTGATTTCAGCGTTGACTCATCCTCCAAAGCAGAGATCCGACCTTGTCGACCGCTTCCGCCTTGTCGACCTCTTTCGAAGCCGCCTGTGGGAATCCGCTCCGGATTTGGATACCCTAGACTCTAAACTCCAAACCCTCAAGAAGAGCATAGATAGAACTGACATGTATGTTTTCACGACCAGCTCAATGACCGAGACCGTCAACTTCAATCGCAACTCCCACCAGCAGCCTACAGCCTAGCCCAGCCCGGCCCATTTCCCGGATCAGGCTTGAAGCAAAAAGCAAAAAAATCGGTTCAAACTCTATGCAACTTCTATGAGCCCTATACCCTAAACGGTCTTCAACAGGTTAAAACTTTCAGGCCTCAAGTCCATAGGCCTTAGGTTGGGGCCTGGGGCTTGGGATTTTCGGGCTGCGGGGTTTCGGGTTTGGGGTTTAGGGTTTAGCGGTTTAGGGGTTAGGGGTTTAGGGGTTTAGGGTTGAGGGGTGAGGGTGTAGCGTTTCGGAGTGTCTACTGCTTTGCCGGTTTTTTGATATCCAACTCAAGAAGAAGCGTATCACAAGAGCCCAAAGCCTTTCCTAAGTACGACCACGCAAACCCCAAAATGGAAGCTTCATGCACTGGGATCCTCGATATACCCCCAGTCTGAAACCCAGAGACTCCAATATCCCTTAATTAAGGAATATTCCTTAAATCATATTAAGGATCCTACTATAATTTAAGGACTATTCCTTAATTAAGGGATATTGGAGTCTCTGGGAAAATACTGTACACATAGAAAGCGATAACTACTCTTAGACTCTATAGTTTAGGCTGAGGGTTTGGGGTGCAGGATTTGGGGCCTAGGCTTTAGGGTTGAACCAGGAATTTAAGAAATACTAGTACCATCTAGTACCCCTCGCAGCTATACAAGGCTTCTGAAAAGAATTCAAGGACATTCCTGAACACGCAGAGTTTTCCGCAGTGCCCAAAACTCAAAACTTCTTAACCCCGGAAGCCCCAAACCTCTTCCCTAAACCCTGACCCTACAGTAGAAGCCAGAAAGTTGGAATATCATTATCGTAACCCCTTTAAGGTAAATTATAGGGGATCCTACCATTAATCCATATTCCAACTTTCTGGAGTCCCCTTTAAACCCTGACCCCGAACCCCAAAGCCCCAAACCCTGCCGGACTCAGGTCTCAGAGTCACAAGCCCTCCGACGTTCAGGCTTTAGGGTTGAAGGGTTGAGGGTTGTAGGGGTTGTAATTGTACAGTAGAAGCCCAAAAGTTGGAAACCCAATAGCCTCAACCTTAAGAGTAATGTATAAAGAATCCCGGCACTAATTGTCCTTAATCCGGTTTCCAACTTTTTGGGGTTTACCATAGGGGTTTAGAGGTTGGGGGTGCAGGATGAGGGTTGAGGGTTGAAGGTTGAAGCTTTTGGCTGGTGGAGCTTACCTGTGCCCTAGCGAAGCAGAAGATCCATAGGGGTGTCCTAAACCCTAAACCCTAAACCACTTATAATTCACCCCGATATTTTCGCTCTGCTAAAAAGGGAAAAGTGCTCTGGATGCTGTGACAACCCTTATTTCTGTGGCGTCGTTCCAACATTCAGAGACCCGCAAACCGTAAACCCCAAC